TAGTCCCACACCTAAAACAAGTTCCCTTGACACAAGACTCCCCTCCGGGTGACGACAACCTCCATATCAAAAGATAAATTTATACAATCCAGTGCTCCACACATGCACACGTGTGCACAAGACTGTATTTTGTAAACATACATTCCACCTACGGACGATGGTGTGTCGCTGTAAATCCCGAAACATTAATATTAATGCGTCTTCGGCATGTACCTGCTCCGTAGTGTGTTGGAAAGCACGATCTGAGTTTTGGTTGAGGCACGCGGGGGTGCAAAGTGCATGCTCAACCACTTCCTCCGGCGACCCCTTTCCCCCCGAGACACTGTTTCAATGTACATACAGTCTTTTCAGTGGAGGATATTTCGTTATTCTGCGAAAACATGGAGAGTGAATTCTTTTGCTTCCTCGAGAGATATTTCATTTTTAGCGTAGGAAGTCAGACTTTGCATCGAAAAAACTCCTCTTTGTTCTGTCATTTTATTTACTTCAGTGGAAAATATCTTCGATATTTTACAAATGAAAATAGCAACGGGAAATTGTCTCCAGTGAAATTAAAATCTTCTTAGTCTAATCTTTATATTTGATATTCTTATTTAATATGAAATTCTCTTACAACGGGAAAATATCGCTGATCCGAATAATGTAGCATTGATTGGAGAGGGATTTTTTTTTTTCAGTCTGAAGTATCTGAAGTATCACGTCACTCCTCTGGAGTCATAATAAATTCGCAGGGCTTATCGTCCCGTGATGTAAATGATCCGATAATCCTCGTGTTATAATTTATCGGAAAATGCAAAATTTGCATGAACCTGTGCAACCTGACTCTGTTAATATTCCCCAGCGATGTATCACGACCTTTATAATGTACTTTAAGCGCTCAGTAATTCTGGAAAGAAGCGGACGATCAGATAGTTTGCACTTTTAAAAAGTTTCAACATGTTTCAATTTAATTAGTCTATTTTTATTGAATAATTGAATTGAAATTCGCAGTTTTCATTAATTTTTCAATGACGAAATTCCCTGAAATATCAGAGTAACTGTAAGTTATTAATATACTCAAGAAGGGAAGATAACATTCTCATCTGTTGAATTAGAATTTTTTTCTGTGTGAAATTGAAAAAATTCCCATCTCATTTTTTTATTTCCCCCAATTTTATGGATCAAAAAATATTGAGGTTATATTCCTCACCTAATTATCCCTGAATTCATAAAATCCCTCACATCATAAAACCATGAAAAGAATCCAGGTTGGCCGACATTCTTCAAAGATACGAGAGGAAAAATCCCCCAAAAATAAGAAAACAAAATGGCATAAAAGCCCGCAGAAGAAGCTTTAAAAAAGCCCCCCCAGACCATGAGATATGGTTAGTAAAGAAGAGGGCATTTTTCATGATGCTTGTTTGCTTCCAGAGTGAGGTAATTAAAAATTACGAAGGCCACAGGTGATTATGAGCGGTTGAGTGCCGGGGTAGTTGTGAAACTAGAATAAAATACAGAATAATAATAATAAAAAAAATACGAAAGGTGGAAAATAATCAGAAGTTGGATGAAAAAAGTTGGGGCAGAGTTATATTTTTCTCCATGTAAGACCAAATGCTGCCTTTCAGTTAAATTTGTGGAGTGAAAATTAAAACTTCTTGATTTTTCCAAATTAGTGGTTAATCGCTCCTCATAATTTGAAATACGTGAGACCAATAACAATATTTATAATGAATGGGTTTCTTAACTCCCCGATAGGGAAAGGTATTTTTTCTTAATTTGGACTCATATTTGTTTTTACACTTATTACAATGGAAATATTTCAAGTACACGAAATTAATCATTCATCAACCCCAAATGAATTCTCACTTGAGTTTATTTCGATACTAAATTAATCACTATCCTATCCGCACGGTATGAACCAGAGACTCGCACTCAATTAGACCTACCGTTATTCGTGATCACGAATTCCCTTTATATACACAGAGTCCTCGAAACGATGGAGCCAGTGCATTCATACTTTGAAATCGTAAACTGCGTTGAGTGAAAGCAGAAAGTTCCACTCGACGTTCCACGTATTTTTGATGGACCAATGGGACCGAGGTTTTGGGGTTTCAGTGACACTTGAGAGCGGTTTCAACTATTCAGGATGGTATGTACCTATTCACAGTCCTTATTTAGATAATTTATTGGTGAGGAAAATGGAAAGTGGAAATTGTTGCATTTTATAATTAACTGTGGGATTGAATTTAATTTGAGTAGAAAAAATCGTGAAATTTATGATTTAATTGTTAATTCAAGGTAATTTTACATTTTTCTGCAGCAAAGGGACAAAAAATTTCGGTGAATTTTCAAACGAAACGTGAATATTTAGTTCTAATTTTCGCAGAATTTAAAATTCATTGAAAATTTCTATTGATTTTTTATTAAATTGTGAATTATCAACGAAGAAATTTATTGAAATTTCATTTGAACTGTCACTTGATAAAAATTCCCAGCAATTTTACCGGAAATTTCTGAAAGAATAGCAAAAAATCTAATCAATGAAATGAATTTTAAAAACGAAATTATATTTCATTAATAAATAACTTGTTCCCTCATTACGAATTCATCGAAAAATAAACCGAGTTTCAGGAAACTAAAATTAAACAAAAAAATTCATCACTCCACTTGTAAATAAAACAACGCGCCGTTTCCCCCAGCTCCACTTCTCTTGACATCCCCAGTAAAAATGGAAATATTCCCCCAAAAATAAACAAACAGTTTGAAAGAACACCAACGTAACTGGCGTCGATCGGAGTACGTCACGTGTTCCCCACTTGGGGCCAGTGTACCCACGACACACGTGAGCGCCAAAACCCAGCGATGTGTATCCCCTGCAACAAAGACACAAGACCTCCGCGAATAGCCAAGGGCGGGGCCACCCGAGGGGCGCAGGGGGCGTCCACCCCTCCCCTGCGCCATCACGAGGGTCTGCAGTCCGTCGTTATCCACCGACTCGTCAACACGACCTGTCAAAAGGTTTTTTTACACTTCGTACTGCATAAAAAAAAATTCAGTTCCATCTATTGAACTTCATATTTATTTTATTTATTCTACTTTTTTGAAGCATTTCCGCACTTGTTGGAAATTATTATTCATTTATTAGCTTGAAAATTTACGATTTGATGGAAAAGTCAAGGGAAATGGAGAATTTTAGTTGAATTATTTTATGGAAAACAATAGAAATCAGGAAAATTTAGGTAAAATGGATCCATGATTTTTTTATTTACTGAAAATTAAGCGTTATTTGGCGCTGAACGTTTATGCTTCTATTGAAAATCGAAGTTCACTTCAATTTTTGTTTTAATTTCCTGTTCATTTCGTGGAAATTTTTATCAAATGACAGTTCCACAGAAATTTCGGTAATTTTATAATTCAACATCCACAATTTGATGAAAACATCAATGTACACTCTGAATTTGAGCTAAATTAGCCTATTTAAATTATCAGAAATCAGGAAAAGTCGGTTGAATGGATGTTTGAATGTTCAATTGATGGATAATTCAGGGTAATTTGATGTTGAATATTCATGTTTTGATTAAAACTTCAAGTTGGCGAATTCTCCATTGAATTTTCAGTGAAATTTGAAATTAAAAAACTCGCATAAATCACATTCACCTCTGACATTTACAATTTTACAATTAAAAATTGACAATTAAATTGAAAAATCAGAACAACTCCCGTGAATACATGTTTGAATCCTAAATGAATGCATAATTCACCGTAATTTAACGTTAAATATTTACGTTTTAATGAAAAATTCAATTTGGAAAATTCCCCATTTAATTTTCATTGAAATTTGAAATTAAACAACACCCCCCATAAATCAAATTCACTGTCGTTCTCCTAAAAATGCCCACAAACTCTCCACGAAATTCTCAACCATTTCTTTTCAGTCCGTGTTTACAAAAATCGTAAACATGAGACATTTTACAATTAAAAATTCACAATTTGATGAAAAACTCAACTCAATTATCCCATTGGAATCCTAAATGAATGGATAATTCACCGTAATTTGACGTTAAATATTCACATTCAATTAAAAATTCAAGTTGGAAAATTCCTCATTCAATTTTCACTGAATTTTGAAATTAAACAACTCTCCCCATAAATCAAATTCACTGTAGCTCCCCTAAAAATGCCCACAAACTCTCCACGATATTCCCATCCATTTCTTTTCAGCCTGTGTTTAGAAAAATCGTAAACTACATTTCTTTTCACCTAGTGTTTATAAAAATCATAAACATCCGACAGTTTACAATTAAAAATTCACACTTTGATGAAAAAAAAATTGGAAAATTCCTACGAAAACATGTTTGAATTCTCAATGAACGAATAATGTACCGTAATTAGACTTTAAATATTCACGTTTTAATTAAAAAATCAATTTGTCAAATTCCCTAATTAATTTTCACTGAAATTTGAAATTAAACAACTCCCCCCCAAAATCAAATTCACTCTAGCTTCCCTAAAAATGCCCACAAACTCTCCAAAATATTCCCATCCATTTCTGTTCAGCCCGTGTTTGGAAAAATCGTAAACTACATTTCTTTTCACCTAGTGTTTATAAAAATCGTAAACATCCGACAGTTTACAATTCAAAATTCCCAATTTGATGAAAAAAATTAGGAAAATCCCTATGAAAACATGTTTGAATTCCCAATGAACGGATAATGTACCGTAATTCAACATTAAATATTCACGTTTTAATTAAAAAATCAATTTGTCAAATTCCCCATTTAATTTTCACTGAAATTTGAAATTAAACAACTCTCCCCATAAATCAAATTCACTGTAGCTCCCCTAAAAATGCCCACAAACTCTCCACGATATTCCCATCCCTATCTTTTCAGCCCGTGTTTAGAAAAATCGTAAACATCAGCCAAGTCATCTTGTACTGCGCGTATTGTAAACAGAACAGTTGCCGGTTGATTCCAGCGCTCGCGCCGCGAGGTAGCGCAGTCGCTCGTCCGCCGTCGTGTCGAGTGGTTCGTGTTGTCGGTTTCGCGTTGAATATCCCCGAGAAAACGAGTTCTAAAAAAAGTTTCGAATAAATTGTTTCAGTGTGAGATTATTTCCGTGATTAAAAACCTCTCCACCGTTAATTGATCATTGGATTAATCGAATCAGTGATATTAAAGTGCGAGTGGTAACAGTGAGTTTTCGACATTATTCATTGACATTTATCAAGTGTTAAAATGTGCTCGATGCTGTCACTCGTGACAATTGCAATGGTGGTGGTGTCTATTGTCACCTGGAATGCAGAAGCTCAGCCGAAATCGCCGACTGTTCTCGACAGAATGCAGGAGGATACGGATTTATCTGAGGTGAGTGACTAATTAATTCAGAGGGGAGTTGATATTATTATTTAGACTATTGCGGAATGGACCATTGGGCACGTTTTACGCCGGCGAAATTTCACCGTAAAACGTTCAAGGTTAAATGCTGACATGGGTATACTGTGTTGCCAGTTTAGCTGGCGTGTCCTTGGGCTTGAAACATCCTTTTGTCCTTCGGATTCATTGATCTTTGTGGGTATGGGTCATCTTTGAGTATTCATCTGCGGCGGGGTATTATTACTCATTGAGTTGTCATTGAAATTATGAATCATCATCGCGGATTCTGAAGAAAATTTATAGAGATACTGAGGAAAGACTTTTCATGAGAGAATTTTTCTTTTTGAATTTTTCGTCGTTCTTTAAAAATTTTCTTTGATTTAATGCCATCGATCGCGATTTTTTAGTCTTTGAGATCAGAACAGGAATATTTAGTTGATTGATAATTTAAGAATATATTCTAGTGATTTTTGAGGATTTTCGTGGAATCATGGAACTAAAATTCTTTTGTGATTAAAATTATGAATCATCATTGCGGATTCTGAAGAAAATTTATACAGATACTGAGGAAAGACTTCACTGTGTTTTCGTGAGAGAATTTGTTTTCGGAATTGTTTGACGTTTTCTTGGACTTTTTCTTTGATTTGATGCCGTCAATCGCGATTTTTTAGTCTTTTGAGATCAGAACAGGAATATGTAGTTGATTGATAATTTAAGAATATATTTTACTGAATTTTGAGGATTTTCTTGGAATCAATTAACTGAAATTTACCGTTTTTATTGATTTTTTCGTCAAATTGTGAATTTGAAATGAAATTTCTTGAAATTTGGGTGGAATTATAAATTGATAAAAAATTTCATGAAGCGTTTCCCTACTTTTGAACAAATTTTCATTTCCAAAAACGTCTTAATTTTCACGTTCAATTTTTTTTTCTCAATTTCATCACCTGAAGCGTCAAATTTCTTCAATTTCTTGAGTGAAATCAATTCTTAAATCCCATCAATTTCCTCATTTTTATGAAGCGAATAGTCTCAGAATCTTTTTTTTATATCGAACAGTCGACTAGACTCGAAGAATTCATCTCCTGATATTCTGTTACATCACTTCATAAATTGATATTGCCATTGGTTTTTCCTCATATATCTCCACATTGGATGTTGGAACGCATCACCGCATAAAAGTCAAACTTTGAGTGAACAATATCGCCACTTTACTGTCGTCATTATTCAGAAATTGTCTTGTTGTCGGTGGGTAATTGGTAATCAAGTTTATTGTCAACAGCCTTTAATAGATTCTTGGAGGAGTAAAAAACGTACGTTGATCACGGCGGAAAGTTTTATTGTCTCGTAAAAATGTCCCATAACTCTGCGTATTTTTATTTCACTCGGTAACTCCATTACAATTACCTTTATTTCGTCACGAATGGATGAGTCATTGGGCGATGACTGGCGCCTTTTTTTTTTTCTTGCGGCGGGGAGTGGTGGTTGATTTAGGGGGGGGGGGGGCAATTTGATGATGAGAGAGGGGACACGGAGGTCTGGTGGGTGCGGAAGCATCTGCCGGGTTTCATCATTTTACGCGTCTCGCAGGTGTCGTCAGCCAGGTGGCATCCACGTTGAGATGATGGGATGAAAAATACGGGAATTGGGTTAAAGGGTATGGAAGATGAATTCCTCAAAATTTTTGAACATATTTTATGAACATTTATGGGTGTTTTTCAAAATCAAAGCCCATTGTTCTTTATTAAAATTCATGATTTGGTGAAATAATCAAGGGAGTCTGTAAATTTGGGGTGAATATTGTGAAATTTTTAATCAATTGAGCATTTGGGAAGTTAAAGTGACAGTTTTACTGAAATTTCAAGCTATTTTTTCGTTGAGAACTTATAATGAAAGAACAAAGAATACTTTAGCATATTTTGTGAACATTTATAGGCGTTTTGCAAAATCAAAGCCCATTGTTGTTTATTAATGAACTTTGAAAATTCATGATTTAGTAAAAAAAATCGAGAGGATCTGTAAATGTCAAGGAATTTTTTCATTAAGAATTCATAGCTTGATGAAAAAACAAATAAAACTGTAAAGTTTAGTATATCCTATGGGCATTTATAGGTGTTTTTTAAAATCAAAGCCCATTCCTCTTTATTATTGAACATGGAGAATTCATGATTTGGTGAAAAAATCGCGAGCCTGTAAATTTCAGGTCAATTTTCTTAAGCTTTCAATCAATGGAGTATTTGAGAAGTTCCAGTGACAGTTTTATTGAAATTTCAAGGAACTTTTTCATTGAGAATTCACAATTTAATTAAAAAACAAAAAAAAACTGTCAAGTGCAGTATATTTTATGGACACTTATAGATGTTTTTCAGAAGCAAAGCCCATCATTCTATAACGCTTATTATCTTCATGTTTAACTAATAATTCTGGGAAATGTCAGATAATTCAATTAATTGATTTCTCGAGTGTTCAAACAAAAATTAAACTGCAATCATCTCTGATGGTGAAGTTGAAGGAAATTATAATTTTTAGATTGCCCTCTATCAATATTACCATCGAATATTTGAGTTTGCAAACAATTAATGGGACTTTATTATCAAAGTTTCGGAGTGCATTGAGTGGGAAAACGTTACAAACAGAACGACTAGATTTTTTAAATATCGATAAATGTGGAATTATCTCGATGATGCATCATTCCACGGCAAAATCTCATAAGACATTTTTTATCGGAAATTTCATAAACTTCAAGATAGGTCCTAACAATAATTCCGCTATCTCCCTTCCGTTTCGCTATATTCGTTAAAAACCGATCTCAAGTCAAAATCAATTGATGACAAAATGTGAATAAAAAATCAGCGAACAATCCCAATCTCGATATCGGCTGATTTTACTGAAAAAAAAAGAATAAACACACATTGTTAACGAAATGACGTACTGAAACCACTTGTTACGGACATAAATCCGCAAAAAAAATTGAATTCTCAGTGCCGTGTTGATATCATTCCAACTGCATGAACAGCACGACTGAATTCCCGCGCATTACCATTCATTAATCTCGAATCAATGATGTGTACGTAGGCGCCTGACTCTTGCATGTCGTATGAGTCAAACGTGGTGAGCCTCTCGTCGACAAAAACGTCGCGCTGCTGGGTACGTCCCGCAACTTCCGCTACAGCGCCAGTTATGTAGACTATGTGTTTGATATACAATAAATTCAGAGCTGGAGTGTGTACGATACGATGTTATGAAAATAAAAGTACACATCACAGAAGAAAAAAACACATCTCTCTTTATCCGCAACTTTTTTACAGCGCACATTGTTTCAGAGAAGTTTTTTCCCCCCCCGTTGCTATTTCATTTTATTTCATTCCTATCGTATTGTGGATCTCGCTGGGAGAATAACCCTGGAGACGAACCGTATGTCGACTCCACCGAGTGATTATTTTTTGCCGCGAGGAGATGTGGATTCGCACACTGCTACATTAACACCAGAAAATATTTATTTCTGAGTGACATTGCCGATTCAAAGGGCGCGAGAAATTTTCACCACGTGTTTTCCCATAGTTCTTTCCAAGGTTTCACTTTCATTTTTCGGTTCGAATGTGACGTGACGTTTTGAGTTTATATTATTTCAGACATCGGCATAATCATAAATTTTAAATAGTGGTAAATTTTGAATTAATCGATTGGTTAATATTACGCAATGATTTTGAATTATTAAATTAATCGTCGATTAAATATTCACATTTCGAATTATTCTATCAGTCAATAATTGAATTCGAAAGATTGACGATTATTTGGCTTTGGTAATTTCAATAGTCAATTGACAATTTAGGTTATCAATTATTTTATTATTTTTCAAATATCAATGAAGACGAATAAACCTTAATTATTTTAAGCTGCAACTTGGCTTAATATTAATGATCTAATGATTGATGTCGATCTATCAATTATTTAGAATTCTCGATTGAGTTTTCTTTGACATTGAATTCGACTTTATGGCGTAAAAATGATTCAGAATTTACTGAGAATATCAGATATGAAGATTTAATTACAAAATTTTATGACAAAATTCATTGAAATTCCAGTGGAATTGTCACTGGGTAAAAATTTCCAAGAAATGTTTTAAATTCATAAAGCGTTTTGTGAATTCATTTCGTTGGTTTCATAATTGATTTAGGATACATTTTATGCCTTAGCATGTTGGGGGCAGAGGGGAGGGATGGAATATTCATCTCAAATATTCTCACATATTGAAAAAAAACATTAGCGATCCCGCATCGTTAAGTTTCATTCAACATTTTTCTCTCTTGTATATAGGCACCCACATGTTTTCTTGATACATAGTTGAGTTCATCTTTATACCTCTGGACGGATATTTTGAACAAACGGTTTCGCGCACACACGCCCCAAACAAAGACGCTCGACGTTCCGGTGTTGTTTCTCCTCCCCCCGCCCCCACATTGTCCCATTTTAGTCTATATTTTCGCTTCCTACGTTGCAGTTTGTACTTATATACGGGTATATAAAGTACAAAAGGCACTATTCACGGGCTAATCCAGCGGAGATTCCATTACGTATTGGCTGCGACTTCTCGACTTTTGGGATTTTTACGGGATTTTTTACTGTGTGGAGCAGGAAAAGTTGGATCATTAAATTGAGACATTAAGACATGCATTAATGATGTTGCGTGAAAAGAGCCAATGATTTTGTCAGTCATTGTTTAAGTTACGATAAAAATATCTGTCATGAAGCAGAATTTTAAGGGTGAACGAATTTTTGCGATTAAGAATATCCAAGTACTTTCGCTATTTTTTTTCTACTTTTGTAGTTGAACATCGAAACTTTCATTTGAGTCCCATTTAACCCCAAAAGTTTCTGGACATTTTACAATGATTATATCATTTAAACTTTGAAGTTTTGATATTGAACCATTAGAAAACATTTTTTAAATCTGAAACAAAATTAGAAAGTTTAGTTTTGGAGGAAGATTA